GTTACTGTTTACATGTGTGAAAAGTGTGTTTGAAAACGAGTCTGATTGCAGGATCTAATGTCCGCTGGTCCAGGCTCCAGACCGGATGTCCTCAACTGGAGGACTGGCCCAACTTCATACCCCTGGGCCTGGCTGAGAAGCCCTCAGTCGTGAATCAGGGTCGTCCACTCGATGGTCCTGATCACAGGCCCAAGTCCTGGTCCTACAACCCTGTGTTATGATCTTGGTTGTCTGACGAATTTCCTCGCCACTCACACACAGACAGTCTCATGCATGCCCATACATGCACAAGAGATGGGGAGAGAGGAGACAGAGTCCACACTGCACACAGGAGAAGATAAACAGCGGAAGACAATCATGCACAGCAGGGGAGAAGACACACAGTGTTTCTCACTCTCTGACACAACTCCCAACAACCAATCACAAGAAAGAACCTGCGAAGATCACAATTGAGACTGTCACTGATGATGAGCCACTCACACTATTATCGTAACAGAGTTTGTTCCAGTATCTCGCCACACCCAAACTCACACCCCACTCTCTATCCTACACCCAGTGAGTAGCGCTATGTCAGAACAGCCTCCCAGAGGCCAGCGCCAACCACCCTGATGAAGAACAGGTCCTGCGATGAAGTCTTCAGTGCCGCTGGACAACTCTGACGAAGGAACAGGCAGCTATGGCTGCCACCACCCACGAACCACTCAGTGTAGAGCCTCAACGTAGCCCGGCCATACGCAGATACCCCCAGGGGTAGATGCGCTGAGGATGCCCCAGCTGTGGCAAGCTCAGAGAGGGCCGGCTATGGCCGCTGTTGCGGTCTGTCTCAGGATGCCGCCGGTAGACAGGTACCGCCACCAACTTGCTTGGCGTCTCCAACGCTGTTCGCGAGAAATGAACTGCCAAAAGTCCTGAACCGATGGGCCTAACCTATCTATAGACTACTAGGACCTAGACCGGACTGACTGACCGACCGGTACCGTTGCTGTTTCGGCCTCTCGGCCTCTACCGGACCCGGCTATAGGCTATAGGACCGTCTAGCAGCATAGGCCGCTTAGGGCCTGTCTGTCCTAGGGGTAGCCCGGGCCTGCTAACAGCAGTTAGGGTAGCTGTAGGAATTCAGGTTAGTACTGGGCCTATATTTTCCCAGATTTACAGATCTGTCCCTCAAGAATTTCCCTACAGGCAGGTCTCTCAGTTAGCCCTCAGCCAAACAACATTACGAATCCAGCCTACCGGGTTAGTGTACAGCCTCGCTGTTAATCTCGGCAGCGGAAATCAGCAACCCTGCTGATGCAGCAGGGTTAGTGTACAGCCTCGCAGGTCTCTCGGTTAGCCCTCAGCCAAACAACATTATGAATCTAACCTACCGGGTTAGTGTACTGCCTCGGTACCTACCGGACATCCAGACAACCCTGCTGATGCAGCAGCGTCCTGAGGACTGGGCCAGGCACAAACAGATGAATGCCTGGACCAGTCCCAGATACAGACAAATCTGAAACTGGCATACAACGACCGAAACTGAAATACACTGCCCCAAACAGGCATCTGCCGAAACTAAAATCCACTGCTCCGAACAGGCATCTGCCTGTTCCGACAGAAACGACACATCTGGAACAGACAAAAATAGTCCAGACAAAACCCAGCCCCAGCTCACTCAGCAAAAATACATTAATAAATGCAGAATAAAAGAAAAGCGAATGGGACAAAAGATATGAGCCTTGGCCCAAACCGTGGCCGTCGCCCACCAAGCCGCAGAGCCAAAGGGGGTGTCCAGCAAGGGCGTTGAAAAGGGAAATGTTGGGCCTGAAGGCCCCGTGCAGGAGCCCCTAGGATGCTACAGGATGACAGGACCGCGGCAGGAACAGTGGCGAAGTCTGACTTGGCTGCCTAACCTGGCTTCCATCCTTGCATAGACCAGACCGACGATGGGTTTTCCCGGCCAACCATTGCCTCTAAGATCAGCATGTCAACCCAGTAGCATACCGAGGCGGAGCGTGGTTTCCTCAGTCACGCCTTCCAGCATTTCACTCCTGTGTACTTGCTGAGCATCAGAGGACCTCTAGTGTTAGCTTTTTTGAAGCCACTGGAGGAGTCACGCTGGTCTTCTTCTTCATCCTCTGAGTGGCGCTTGGCCTCAGAGGCCTGTTTCGGGGTGGCGCTTCCCTTTGGGGGCTGTATCTGGGTGGCGCTTGCTGTTTCAGGGGCTCAGGGGAGTCACGAGTGGTTACTTAGGGTTGGGGAGTGAAGCGCTGCTCATTTCTGAGCAGCGCACTGTAGTACTGAGGTTATCCTGACAATTCGAGACTGTGAGTTTAATAAACAGTGTGATTGTAGCATACTGCGTAGCCACACGGGCCCTGCAGGGCCCGTCCCGGACTTTCAGCCTAAAAGCCTAAAACTTAGGGCTTACAGGCCCCGTTCGTTTCAGCCTGAAAGCTGAAAAACGAGGGCCTGCAGGCCCTACCCCGTTTCAGCCTATTTCTGGGTCTTTTCAGACCCAGAGTTTTCAGCCTGAAACGGAGGGCCATTTTCACGCCCTCGTTGTTTCGACCTGCCCCTAAGACTCAGGCACGTAAACAGGGATGCGGAACAGGCCAGGAATAGCCTGTTCCTCACGAGTTCGAGCAGGAGCTGCAGCTGCAGCCCCTGCCTCCCTTTGGCAGGCTCAGGAGGCACACCCGTARTACATAGGAAGTTCCCATGCACTTCACGGGTAGGTAGTGGTCAGTAGGCACGAGTAGTCTTCAGGATTCGGCCGCAGCACTCAGGAGGAGCGCTGCAGTAGTCTTCAGCGCTAGGTAGGATTAGCGCTAGCTGTAGTCTTCGGCGCTGGGCGCCATAGCTGTAGCTGTAGTCTTCAGCGCTGGGCGCTGGAAAGTGGTAGATCGTAGAGTGGGAGAGAGACTGGCGGAGGCCAGTGTTACTTACCTGTGGCGCCATCGCTCCAGCTCCATCTTCGTGGTACCTGCATCAAGGCGCCAACTTCACAGGTTAGTATTGGACAGAGAGAGAGAGAGAGTTCTTCTTCTTCCTCTTCTAAGTCCACCTTCTCTTC